CATGTATTTATTGTGTTTTGTAATTGCTCTCATAAGCACATTGGTTTTCAGCAACCAGCTCTTCATTCAGAGTAACTTTAGCTTTGCACAGAACTGAATTTGACACATTATATATTCAGTTCCAAATGTGACACAATATATATTCTGCACCTGGGACGTTGGTGGGGGAAAATTGTGTTCTGTATTGTGGATAACATAATTGGAATTGAAATGAAAACCTTTCTGTATTCCAAATCCTTATTAACATTAGCATTAAGAAAACAGCCGCATCCTAAAAGAGCGATAACATTTTTTTGCCTTCCTTAAAATTCCAGGGTGCTGTATTTTTTTTTTCAAATATGTACAGTGCTCAGTGTTCTGATATCACTATATGAACAAATTAAGATAGGTGCAATTGTTGCTACCTGGGAATTTGATCACACTGTTTACAAGCCCTGAGGCAATAGTAAACTCCTGCAGGTGATTTAAGCAGGAAACCAATGGTTACACATGAACAATCCCACAAGGATGTGAAAATGGACAAGTTGTGTTAGTGAAGTTTTGGATATGAACTGCTTCTATCAATTTTTAGTGTTGATAACCTACTTGTTACTCTAGATAATGAAAATTGAGATGCTTATCAGAAAAATTTCAGGGGTTTATTATTGTCCTAGTCATTTTATTGACCCTTTGTGGCAGCAAGGTACGTGGATGCACTGTGTCTAATATTAACTAGGAAAAATTGCTGAGGGAACAAATATATGGTGTATGTACTCCATACTATATCAGACAATACCTCTGTAAACCACTTAGCTTTCATTTTTATTTTCAGTCACATAGAGGATTCACTTCCTATTTATAATGCTGAAAGCATGGGTCATTTTTTCCCCTGATTTTTTCTTTTAAAGCAGTAGTGTTCTGGTGGAATAATATTGATGTTTTTTCTGCATTGGTTAAATGCCTGTTCATTTACATAATACTACTATGTTACATATATTATGTACTGTAAATATTATGAGTTTTTGAAATAGTTGCTGCACTTAAACTTTCCTTTATCGCTCAAAATAATGCTTTTGTTACCCAGATCTGAAGATTTTATTGACTTTCTATGCACCAAAGCTTTGACAGTTTACCACCATTCATTATTGTAGCAATTAAATCGTTAACTGTCATCAGAATGATGTTATTTTATGATGATGGTCTTTAGTGCCAACATCACTGCAGAATTAAAAATCATATCTGTGTTTTCAATGTTACAGATCACTAGCTATTGTCAACTAATCAGAAATATTAATGCAAGAAACTTAAAAAATACCAGTGTGAAAATGGTGGTATTCAGTCCAAAGGTTCAGTGTTTCTATTTTTGTGGAACTTTAGTCATGCTAATAATAGTACCTTATGTTTATGCAATTCTGTAAAATATATGTGTACAGTTAGTATTATACTGAAAGAATGCAGAATCTGAATTAGAAGGTAGGTTTAAGCCATTGTCAGCTCCTTTCCATGTGGCTTAAATGGTGTTTCCATTAAATGAGTATTTAACATAAATTGACACCAAGCTATATTAATTGTGTTTTTTGCATAATCTTGCCAAAACACAGTAATGTGTATATAGTGACGTAAAACATTGACAGATCTATATATTGTGCATTTCATTTGTGAATGGGAAAAGCCATCTTTAGTAGGTGACTGACTTTTGAAAATACAAACTGGATGTATATCTAAATGTTGCATTGTATTGTACAGTATGCCTATTATTGTTTGTGGTTGCATATAGCAATTAAGTGTTTTGTTTTATAAAAAAAAAAAGGACATCTGTTATGTACAGTTGAAATAAATTTTGCATTTGCTAGCCTGTGACTAATATTTAATCATTATACAGGGGAAAGGACAGCATTACTTACAATTTCACATTTGTTTGGCTTTTCTGAAAGTAGCATAATAAAATGAAAGCCAAATGCTACAATAAGAGAACCAACCTGCTTTAGTGAAGGTGTTCATGTATGATTTGTGTGTAATGTAATCTAGACAGTCTAATGTAATCCATCATAGTACAAGTTATTCTGTGTCCTGCTGGTTTTTTTTCTTATTTTAAAACTTTCCATCTCTAGAGATATTGTCATCTACAGAACATGTTTCCCATTTCCATTTATGGAAATAGTGTTTCCCCCCTTAATATGAGAAAACTTAAATTGATTTTTGTCAATTTATCCTTGGTAGCGGAACAGGCAAAGCAGTCGCTCAGGAGAAAATTGGATCAATTTATAAAAGATTGAATAAAATATGCAGAGGGCCTAGTACACAAGAACAAACAGTACAAATTAGTACATATATCTGTGGTCTTAAAGTTTTGCTACTAATGTAGCAATTCTTTTCTAGCCCCACGGCCATCTAACTGAACGGTGAGCATAATCTTTTCTGATGAACATCTGTATCAGTTAGGGAAATGTGGGCAATTCTGTATCTAAAGTAAGTATTCTTTGTATATCCTTTAAAAATTCTTCTTAGGGCTCTTCATACTGTCATTATTCCAAAAGTAGAAAGCCCCTTATTTAGTATACTCCATTCATATACGCCAGCTGTGCGTCCTGTTATTTTTTCCAAGGATTTACTTGTGTCTATAAACTTTAAAATTGCTCCAAAAAATGACTGAATTTGACATATTGGCATACAAATAAAATGATGGATTTTTAGTTCCCAGCCCTACAAACTCACCCTGAGATCGGAAAGTCTTGCTAGGTTCTTTCCTACTGATGTATAACCACCAGCAACAAAGTTTCATCAGATCAGCTTCTGTCTTTAGCTAATAACTGCACCTGTGCAGCCCCTTTGTACTTAAGCATATCTTTGCAACCTAGTGGTTTTCAATAGTATTTGATACGTTAGACTTAGGGCAAAATTTTGCTCTGCAGTTGGAACCTGGTTAACAATTCCGTTGATGCACAAGAAAGCACAGAATACCGCTCACTCTTCTTTAGATTTGTACGGGCTAACAGGAATAAAAAGTAGCAAAAACATATTCTGAAAACACACACGGCCTAGAGGTACCATGTTTAAGGTTCTTCACAGTAGAACACTCTGTAAAGTTTGTTCAATGGGCAACTGGGTACCTGATTTGGCAGCAGTATCCATCTGTGTTAATTATTAGAATGTGAATAATGCAATGAAAAGTTGAACATTTAAAGTATGCACAGGTCTAATTTGCACGTGAATATGCCACAAGTGTACATCCAAATGGCCAGTTAGATACCTAACTAGTAGGGCTGTCAAGCGATTAAAAAAATGAATTGCGATTAATCATACTGTTAATAATAGAATACCATTTATTGAAATATTTGGATGTTTTCTACATTTTCAAATATATTGATTTTCAATTACAACACAATACCAAGTTACAGTGCTCACTTCATATTATTTTTTATTACAAATATTTGCACTGTGAAAAAGATAATAGAGAGTATTTCAGTTCACCTCATACAAGTACTGTAGTGCAATCTCTTTATCGTGAAAGTGCAACTTACAAATGTAGAATTTTTTTTAACATAACTGCATTCAAAAATAAAACAATGTAAAACTGTAGACAGTGTTTCTCAAGCTTTTGATGCTGGCTACCCCAATTGGACTTAAAAAAAAATCATGACCCCACCCACTAGAAAAAAAAATCGTGATCCCCCTACATTCAGCCTCTTGGGGCACAGGCCTTCGGCCCCCCTCGGGCTGTGAGCCTTCGGCCCCGCTGACTCTGAAGTCCAATTAACACATTAAAAAAATTTACGCGTTAATCATGCTGTCACTTAATCCTTAATTGACAGGCCTAATGCAAGGTGAAAGGTCATGGGGACTTAATAGTTGGAAGTAACGAAGGAGTGTTTTGGTTGATGACTATGAGCTGCCAATGTGATGCAGCTGTGAAAAAGGCTAATTCAGTCCTAGCATGCATCAGGCAAAGTATTTCCAGTAGAGACAGGGAAGTGTTATTACCATTGTACAAGGCTCTGATGAAACCTCATC